GTGCTCCCAAAATTGCAAGACAGTTGGATTTCTACCATGCAAGAAGATACAATCAAACCATGTTAAGGATTAAGATGATGTATGTGAATCCAGACTCTGTGAGGTCTTCTGATTTAACCTTCTATTACATCCAAACCTAATCTATAAATACTGAAACCCTTGGATGTGTTTGATGCTTTGTAACCTTCAATTGGGTGAAACGATGCATTAAAGGGCAACATTTTTTGAATCAAGGTACCTCATATGGCCTAACTTAAAGAATATATCCTAAATGTATTCTTTATATTCTTTATTCTTTAAATACATCCTTTAAATAAATGTATTCTTAATATAAATATAATATTATATACATATAATATATATATAATATAATATTATATATATAAAATTATATATGTATGTATATGTAAATGTATGTATGTATATATATATATTCTTAATATAAATAAATAATAAATATTAATATAAATGTATAAATAAATGTATTCTTTAAATACATCCGAAACGCTATAGGGCACTGCACACCAAAACAACTAGACACAAGGACAGTTTTTTCCCGAATGCCATCACTCTGCTTAACAACTAATTCCTACAACAATGTCAAATAATTTGCTAAAACTGTATTAGTATTATTCTTCTCTTCCTTACTAGTATCTATCTCTTCCTACTTATTACTATAACCATGTTGCTTCTATCTTTCAATTTATATTATTTTTATTTGTTTCCTAATACGATTTGATAGCTTATTAGTAACCTTGACTATCACTAAGTGTTGTATCTTTTTATTCTTGATGAATGTATTTTATTCTCCTTATGTACACTGAGAGCAATATATATACCAAAGACAAATTCCTTGTATGTCCAGTCACACTTGGCCAATAAAGAATTCTATTCCGTTCCATTCCATTCCGTTCCATTTCCGTTCCGTTCCATTCCATTCCATTCCATTCCATTCCATTCCATTCCATTCCATTCTATTCTATTCTATTCTATTCTATTCTATTCTATTCTATTCTATTCTAAATATGGGACTGATGCCACTCAGGGGATTGAAATTTGGCAAAGTTGTGGACGCTTCAATGCCACTGTGCTTTCTGAGTACACTTCCCAGAAGCCCATAGGTTCAGTGGCACAAGAGGAGATGGGAGGAGTGTGTCCTTGATCTCTTTCCTGCCTTCCATGGGTCCCTGCACCCTGGTAGCAGGTGTCATGGAAAGGATGAGTATGCGATTTAGATGCTTGTTGGTGAGGTAGGCCTACCTGGGAGCACTGACAGTGCACAGATGGCTCTCTTCCTCTCTGGAGCAAGGGGGCTCTTGGGCCATGCCAGAATGGGAAGTGGTAATGCAATTTCCCTTGTGATTTGAGACTCCCTTTGTTCTCCCTCCTCTCAGCAAAGTGGCAGGCAGTTCTGTGGGTTAACTGAGAAGAAGAAAAAAAAATGGTTTTGAATGCTTCTTGACAGCTTTCCACAAACAACATCAGTGGGGAAGCTGGCAGGACATTGGAAGTTGTTCCAGCTCCCATTGCTTTTTTCCTGCCATGACCATCCTGTTTCTCTGTTTAGGTAAGGAAAAAGGATGACCCAAAAGGCTAGAGGTTGTTTAAAGATAAAGGTAAAGGTTTCCCCTGTCCAGTCGTGTCTGATTCAAAGAGGCAGTCCTAATCTCCGTTTCTTAGCCGAGGGAGCCAGCGTTGTCCAAAGGTGCTTCCATGATCATGTGGACAGCATGACTATATACCGAGGCGTATGAAACACGGTTACCTTCCCATTGAAGTGGTACCTATTTATCTACTCGCATTTACATCCTTTAAAATTGCTAAGTGGGCAGGAGCTGGGACAAGTAACTGGAGCTCACCCTGTTTTGAGTGCTTGGCTCTTGAACCTGGGCTGTCAGCTTTCCAACAGACAAGCTCGGCATCTTTAACCACTAAGCCATCCAGTCCCCTACAGGTTTTTTAGTTCTGTAAAAATGTAATCTTTTCCTGCTCTTTCCCTCCATTCTATTTTTCTATTTTCTTTCTTCCTTGTTTTCTTACTGCTCACAATAGAACAGCCTCTGATATTCTTTGGCTGAGATAATGTTCATGCAGAGTATCCATTAACCTTCCATTCATACAAGTTTTTAGACTGATTTTTCCTGGCTTTCTTAAAAGGAGTGATAAATATTCCAAAGCGTTAATTCCTTGCAAGAATCAAAGCTCATACAGAAGCTCAGGGAGGATAGATTGAGGATTAGGAAAAGACTAGGAATGCTCTGGAAGCCTGGGCATGAATGCAGAATTGCAGATAGAATGAAAATAGAGTTTGGAGACAAGGACCAAACATCATATTTTGATTTAGAGAAAGGAGTCTGAGATGATTTACAACAAACAAACACTGGGAGGACATATTTTTTCCCCCTGCTCTGCTGATACCTTGCACAATAATTCCTGTTTTCTGCATTCAGAGATAGTAAAAAAAAAAAAGTTTGCTGAAAATCTTCCAGAATGTTATGTTGCTTCTCAGAAATAACATTTATTGTTACTGATGCCTTAAGAATATAACAACAACAACAATGATTACAAGAACTGCCAAGGAGAAAATCACACTGGTAGGACAAGCCTTTGTATATAAACAGGGAGCAATCTGCACATTCACCAGCACTGATAATGTTATCTAGTTGAGTAATGACACATCTTGAAATAGATCTTAACAATTTGGGTACCAATATATTAAAAGTAATATTTGTTTGACTCATTCATTTATATCTTATCATTGTATTCTCTTACAAACCTCAAAGCAGCAACAATAAAAATATGCATATCCAATTTGTTTCCCTTTTTTACTAAGATATAATATGGTATGAATTTTGCTTGAAATGTTGTCTAAATGCATTATTGTCTGTAAATCATTGTTAATAGCCCAGCATTTTATGTAAACCCAGCTAATTGTGGCTTATTCAATAAATATATAGTCTTTTCTATTAAAAAAAAATCAATGAAGAATAACTGAACATTTTGAAAACCATTTATTTTTTTTATGCCTTTTATAACTGATTCCTAGAGAAATCTGGCTTTGTCTGAAGCACATTGATGTTAGAATTAAATGTTTTATTTACATTTGGGTTGTCTCTTTCTTTCTTTCTCTCCCAAAGCCATTTGGATTATGTCAAGGAAGGTCTTCCAGTTGAAAATAAGTGGAGGGAAGGAATCTGGACCATCTTCAGCTACAGTTTCAGGACTTTTAGAGGACCAACAGGACTTTGGATTCAACAGATCCACCATGGCCCACCTTGTCATGCTTACTTTATCAACACAAGAAGGGATCAAACTTGGATGCTTCCAGAGGACCATGGAAAGAGGTTACTGAATTGCCTTTCATCCTCTGAGGCCAAAATACTTGCACTGTTTTTGGAGAAGCAAAACAAAGATTATATGGTCCATGAGATTGATTGATTGATTGATTGATTGATTTAGTCAAGCATATATAAGATTACAGATAAAAGTATAAACATGATTATGAATACATGAAATACATGAGAATAATTCATGAGATGGTTACAAATAAAAGGGAACATTAGGAAAAAAAGGGGGACATTAGGACAGGGATGGTAGGCACGTTGGTGCGCTTATGCACACCCCTTACAGACCTCTTAGAAATGGGTGAGGTCAACAGTAGACAGTCTAAGGTTAAAGTTTTGGGGGTTTGGGGAAGAAACCACAGAGTCAGGTAGTGCATTCCAGGCATTGACCTCTCTGTTGCTGAAGTCATATTTTCTGCAATCGAGTTTGGAGCGGTTTACCTTGAGTTTGTATTTATTGTATGCTCGTGTATTGTTGTGGTTGAAGTTGAAGTAGTCATTGACAGGTAGGACATTGTAGCAGATAATTTTACATTTCTTAGAATATTTTCTTAGGATCGCAGAAGAGCACTTTTTATTGTATTTTTAAATAACAAAGTTTTGTTTCCCCATCTATGTCCTCAAAACTAGTCAGCATTAGGGTTTGGAAAGAGGGAGACTACCTTTAAACCATACTTTTTTTAAGTTGAAGTTTTGTTGCATCACCAAAATTAGCTAATGGTTTGCTGATAAGGAAGAAAATAATTAAGTAGAAGTATTTGTTCAAATATATTCTAAGGGTGTCATATGAGAATAAAACATTACTACAGGTACTTCTCGATTTAAGACCACAATTGAGCCCGACATTTCTGTTGCTAAGTGAAACATTTGTTAGGTGAATTTTGCCCCATTTTATGACTTTTCTTGCCATAGTTGTTAAGTGATAGTTGTTAAGTGAATCACTGCAGTTGTTAAGTTAGTAATACAGTTCTGAAGTAAAACTGGCTTCTTTATTGATTTTGATTGTCAGAAGGTCACAAAAGGTGATCACATGACCCCAGGACACTGCAACCATCATAAATATGAGTCAATTGACAAGCGTCTGGATTTTGATCATGTGACCATGGGGATGCTGCAACAGTCGTAAGTGTGAGCAATGGTCATAAGTTACTTTTTTCAGTGCTGTTGTAACTTCGAACTGTCTCTAAATGCACTGCTGTAAGTGGAGGACTACCTATATATATTTCCAGCATGTTTGGAAATAGAGGAAGGAGGAGCCAAGTCATCTTCAAAGGACTAAAGGCAAAAGATGTTGCTTCATTCATTTTTTTTTTCCTTTGACATGTATTGAAGCTGATTAGAAGACCAGTGGAATCTTGAATCCATGTTGACAATAGGTTGCATTCTGTACAAAATATATGTCTGTATTTATGTCTATGTCTATGTCCCACCTTTATTATTTTTACAAATAACTCAAGATGGCAAACATGCATAAAAATTAACCAATTTAGAACAAATCATGCAGCATACTTAGTTTTGTTGTCCAACAGAATGAATCTGCTACTTAAGTAAGTCATAGCACTTTACCTTTATAGTAGGCCCAGTCCTTCTCTTGATGAGAGTATAGTAATACTACTGAGTATCATTATCTGACTCTCAAAACCAGTAGCATTCTCTGGTAGAACTGGAAAAGGATTTCTCTTGCAAAATTACAAAACACATTGATTATCCTGTTACTAATGTGCAGACGTACCATTGGAAAGTATTCCAATTAATAAATTCCCAGAATGTTGCCACTTTGAAGGCACCCAGTGTGCATCTTCCAATAAATAGCATAAGAGTTGTTGTAGCAGTCTATGATGATTTCCAATTGTCATTAAATTATGGTTTAACTTTCTAACAATCTGTTTGAGGAGAGGAAATGAAATTGATTGTTATGATTTGTAGACATATGTTGACAGCTGAAAAAAACAAACTGACAGGAGATCACTTTATAGGCTGCTTCCAAAATGCCATGATTAACAGAATATACATGCTATTTACACAGATCTTTTTGCATGATTATTACTATATAGAAAGGAAAACATCTTTCAATGAGTCTATACTCAAGAGTAATTAAAAGAAAAGTAGAAGTGGCAAAAAATATTATTTGATATAAAATGGAGACCCAAAGGATGAGAATCAGTGGTGGGTTTCAACATTTTTTACTACCAATTCTGTGGGCATGGCTTGGTGGGTGTGGCATGGCTTGGTGGGCGTGGCTTGGTGGGCGTGGCAGGGGAAGGATACTGTAAAATCTCCATTCCCACTCCACTCCAGGGGAAGGATACTGTAAAATCTCCATTCCCTCCCCAATCCAGGGGAAGGATACTGCAAAATCCCCATTTCCTCCCGATCAGCTGGGACTTGGGAGGCAGAGAATAGATAGGGGCGGGGCCAGGGGTGAAATGCTCCTGGTTCGGACCCGATCGCCCGAGCCGGTAGCGATGGCAGCGGGTGGTTTGGAGAACCGGTAGCAAAAATCCCTGCGCCCCCCCCCCCCACCATGCCCAGCTGAGCCGCACGATCATCAGAGGCTTTTTTTTTTTTATTGCAAAAGTTTTACAATTACATTTTCACCCCTTTCCCCCCCCTCAACCCACCCTGAACTTCCCAACCTCCCTAACCCTCCCTAACCCTCCCCTCCCCCCGGACTTCCACACAATATACTTATATCAGGTAAAAAGAAACCCCCCTTAATATAAAACTTATATAAAACTTGAACCCCTCCCTCCTCCTTGTAAGTTTTTCATCTTCATTACACTGAAATATTTCTATCTTAAAATATCATTTTCAATTAAAAGCTATTTGGTACTTCCTAGTTTGATATTTATTCTGAACATAATCTATCCACTTTTTCCATTCCCATTCATAAGTCTCTTGTGAGCAGTCTTTTAAAAATGCTGAGATCTTCGCCATCTCTGCAAAACTGGCCATCTTCAAAGTCCATTCCTCAATCGTGGGCAAAACTTCATTCTTCCAATATTTACCTATCAATAATCTCGCAGCTGTTATCATGTACAATATCAACTTTGTTTCACCCTTAGTAAAACCCTTAACTATACCCAATAAGAACAATTGTGGAGAAAATTGAATTTTTTTCTTCAAAACATTCTGCATGACCCACCAAATTTTTATCCAAAAAGCCTTAACTTTCCTACAAGTCCACCAAACATGATAATATGTAGCATCTAAACAATCACATCTGCAACATTTTGGCTGAACATTAGGGTACATACACGACAATTTTTTGGGGTCTAAATGGCTTTTTAAAAAACTTTTAAAAGCATTTTTTCTACAACTTCTTCCGCTGAAAAGATGCTTTTAAAAGTAAAAAAAAGCCTCTGACGATCATGCGGCTCAGCTGGGATCGTCAGAGGCTTTTCAAAGCATTTTTTTTCTGCAACTTCTTCAGCGGAAGAGGTGGTTAAAAAAATGCTTTGAAAAGGCTCTGCCGATACCAGCTGTGTTGCCTGATCGGTAGAGCTTTTTCAAAGCATTTTTTTAACCACCTCTTCCGTTGAAGAAGTTGCAGAAAAAAAATGCTTTGAAAAGTGGAAAAAAAAAAGTTGGCCATGCCCACCCAGTCACATTACTATTAAAAATGTTTGCTACCGGTTCTCCAGAACTGGTCAGAAACTGCTGAAACCCACCTCTGATGAGAATATAGTATGATATAGCAGAGTAAAATAAGCAATATATTCCAAACTAGGCCAAGATGCCATATGGATACAGAATAAATATTCGCTAAATTAAATAAGCATTGGGTTTACTTGTTCAGGAAGCTCTTGGGAATGAGATAATTCTAAATTCAGAAGTGAAGACTGCTGTATAATTTCTACTCATTATGTTTATAGCTGTTTAGGTTATGATTATGACTGAAGGAGCTCTACTCTATTCATATACAGTAACATCCATAATATTAGAATGAAAGTTTTAATGACCTTGTGCAATTATGCGATTGTTTACAAAGCAGTGAGTGCTCCTAAATATAAATATATTCAACAGTTCATAAGATTGCCAAATCTCACAAAACTTTGGCCATGTCATCCTTAAGCTCTTGTGCAATTTCATGGCAGAAATCCAACATTTTCTAAGAGTTCGGCCATTTCCAAAGAAAGCTAATTTGAAAGTTCTCCAGATGTTGTCTGGAGGAGCTGCATGATCTATGGCTGTCATAACTTCCAAGATGCTCTAGCAACAAACTTACAGACTAAAGATACAGAGGTCCAGAGCCAAAACAGGGTACACTAAAAAGAGGTATCATGAAAATTGTATGGGAGGAGAACTCCAAAGTCTATTCAAGTGCAGTGACAAACTTTTAATTAATATTTTGACAACTCCCCTGTGATAGTGCCATGGCAATATCATCCCATTATACAATTGGCCTTTTTAAAAGATTATCCCAGGAGCTGCCACAAAGAAGAGGGAGTCAAGCTCTTCTCTAAAGCACCTGAGGATAGGACAAGAAGCAATGGGTGGAAACTAATCAAGGAGAGAAGCAACTTAGAACTAAGGAGAAATTTCCTGACAGTTAGAACAATTAATCAGTGGAACAACTTGCCTCCAGAAGTTGTGAATGCTCCAGCACTGGAAGTTTTTAAGAAGATGTTGGCTAACCATTTGTCTGAAGTGGTGTAGGGTTTCCTGCCTGGGCAGGGGGTTGGACTAGAAGACCTCCAAGGTCCCTTCCAACTCTGTTATTCTATTCTATTCTATTCTATTCTATTCTATTCTATTCTATTCTATTCTATTCTATTCTATTCTATTCTATTCTATTCTATTCTATTCTATTCTATTCTATCCTATCCTTAGGGTTAAAACCTCCATGGTAGCTTTCCTTGTTTTATTAATTGTGATGATGATGACGATGATGTGAGGTTTTTTTTTTACAAATCACTAAAGAAGCAGACAAAGCATGTGTCATACCGCTTTGGCTTTACCACATTTTTAAAAATGTTTTCTCATTGTCTCCATTTTGAAGTTGGCCTCAATGAGAATTATTACAGGTCAGTTTGAAAATGTCTCTTAAAGTTTCAGGAATGAAGCCATGTAATGAAGAAGAGACTAAGATCATAGCCAGAAGAGAAACCAATTTTGCTCTTCCCGAATTAAGGAATTACAGGGTCGTAAAAAGGGAGTCTACCAGGGGTGAAATGCTCCCGGTTCGGACCGGCTCGGGCGAGTAGGTAGCGATGGCGGCAGGCAGTTCGGAGAACCGGTAGCAAAAATCCCTGCCCCCGCCCCCCATGCCCAGCTGAGCCCCGCAATCATCAGAGCCTTTTTTTTCTTTTAAATGGCTCTGACAAGTCAAGCTCTGACCAGCCAAGCTCTGACAATCCCAGCTGAATTGCCTGCTAACCGGTAGCAAAAATCCCTCCCCTCCAGCTTGCTTACCTTAGCTGCTGGTCGCAACACCTTGCTGTAATCCCTGCAATCCATTGCATCAGTAAGCAACTGAATCTCCCTGCCTGCAATCAAGGTCATCAGTGAGCAGATCTATCTGCCTTCCTGCCTTCCTGCCTTCCTGCCTCCCAGAATTCTGGGAGTTGAAGTCCACAAGTCTTAAAGTTGGAGACCCCTGTTCTATTGGGTAAATTTTTTTCCCCTTTGGGAACTTTAAAAAAAATAGTTAATTGGGGTTTTTTTTAGTTGTTCTTTTTTTAGACTTAGCCATTTAAAGTTTAGGAAGTTTTAAATTTAGCTGCTTTTATATAAAAATAAAAATAAATTAAAATAAAATAATATTTGTGCAGCTTTCTGAGATTTAGTGTGTTTCTGTAGTGTTTCACTTTAACTACACAAACACACAAAATCTCACAAAGCTGTATGTGAAATTTTGTGTGTGTGAAGTGTGAAAGTTGGTTTTTTGGGGCTTTTTGTGGCTGTGTGAGGTTCCTGTTTGTTGCAGGGGCCATTTTGGGTCTAGCACAGCTGCTTTTACATTGTGGGTGAGCCAGTTGTGTTGTGTTGTGTTTTGTAGCTTAAAAAAGGGCAAAGAAGTGACACTGACTTGGCCACACCCACCTGACCAACATGCCATACCCACCCAGTCACCTTACCACCAAGTCCTGCCCACTAATTAAGCCCCGCCCACAGAACCGGTAGCAACAATTTTTAGATTTCACCCCTGGAGTCTACCCCATCTACAAATGAAGAATTGTTTAATTCTTCTTTCAAAATACAACATTGTTATAATTTGTATTCTCTCTAACCTGGTTCACATTTTGAGCCAAGCACTGGTTTGCTTAACCACAGATTGCTGAATAAATTACAACTGGGGTCCCACAATCCTCTAAGCAGTTAAAGATGATTGACAATCAAACTGGTTAGGTTCACACAATGCGTTAAACAATATCAAAATAATATAATGGGTTGCAGAATGCCAAATCCAGCCTTCCTCTCACTCTCCAGGTTTATTTTCATATTTCTGTGATAAACATGCCCCTTGATATTTCTAATTTCTGGCAATAGTTTTAACTACTAACTCTCCACCTTCAGGAAAAGCCAATTTCAGCTGTAGTGCTGTAATGGTTCCTCTTTATGCTGGATTCTGAATTCATGCCTTTATGCCTCATGACTCTAGGATAAAGATCCTAGAGGTGGATAATTAGATATATGTTGACAATACATGGTAACATAGAGGTAGTCCTTAACTTACGACCACAATTTAGCCCAAAATCTATGTTGCTAAGTGAGACATTTGTTAAGTGAGCTTTGCCCCATTTTACAATCTTGCTTGCCACTGTTGTTAAGTGAATCACTTAACAGAAGGTCGCAAAAGGTAATCACATGACGCCCAGGACACTGAAACCATCATAAATATGAATCAGTTGCCAAGTGTCTGAATTTTGACCATGTGCCATGGGGATGCTACAATGGCCATAAGTGTGAAAAATAGTCATAAGTCACTTTTTTTCAGTGTGATTGTAACTTCAAACAGTCACTAAACGAACTGTTGTAAGTTGAGGACTACATGTATTTCCTAAACTTAATTGGGTGGATGGTTTTGAACTTCACCAGTGGTGGAATTCAAATTTTTTTACTACCGGTTCTGTGGGCATGGCTTGGTGGGCATGGTGTGGCTTGGTGGGCATGGCAGGGGAAAGATACTGCAAAATCTCCATTCCCATCCCACTCCAGGGGAAGGATACTGCAAAATCTCCATTCCGTCCCCACTCCTGGGGAAGGATACTGCAAAATCTCCATTCCGTCCCCACTCCAGGGAAAGGATACTGCAAAATCTCCATTCCCTCCCTACTCCTGGGAAAGGATACTGCAAAATCTCCATTCCCTCCCCACTCCTGGGGGAAGGATATTGCAAAATCTCCATTCCCACTCCATTCTGGGGCCAGCCAGAGGTGGTATTTTCCGGTTCTCCAAGCTACTCAAAATTTCTGCTACCGGTTCTCCAGAACCTGTCAGAACCTGATGAATTTCACCCCTGCTTCAGACTTCCATCCAGCAATTTGAGAAGAACACATGAGACCTCCTTACAAATGTGAACCAAAGTATTGGACAGCAAGTATCATTCTCATTGGATTTTATAATTTACATCATGGTTGTCCAACCTCACCTGGACCGCATTGAGTGAAGAGGAATTGTCTTGGGCCGAATATAAAATATATAATATACAGTTAATGTATAAAAATAACAAACTTTCTTTATTGTTTAATAATTTTTATTACCTTGTGGGACTAGCTGTCCATTGCCTTGGACACTCTTGGTCTACATCAAAAACTTCCTCTATTCTTTTGTCCATTTTTGAACAGAATTTACATTCATTCGGTTTCACTGGAATCTAAGTGACTCCCCCCATCCGTTTCATTTCACGCCTTTCCAGCTACCACCAGAACCAGATGTTTATTTAGATTATTTTTTTTAAACAGAAGCCATGAAACCTGATTGGGAACTTTCCAGAGCTTGCTTTTAACTAATTGTGTAAAAGGATGCACTTTGCTTACACGGTAGCATATAAAAATTCCAAAGCCTTTCATTTAAAAAAAAAAAAAGGAGAAAGAAGAAGTTTTGTGGAGCCGTTTCTGGTGATATATTGAACTGCAATTTGTCGCTGTACAGCTCCCTATTGAGATGATGTATCCAGCATGTGCCAGCTTTGCTTTGAGGGCAACTGCAGCCTTCATTTTTTAACATCAAATTATATCTGACATTTCATTTGAAATCCAGAGGAGCATAGTGGGTGGAGGGATGGGAGTCTAAGCACAAGGTTGGTGACAGAGCAAGAAATTAGGAAAAGAGGATTGCCCTGGGTGTCCCAAGTTCTGCTTTTTGCAACTGCACTTAATTAGTAAATTGCTCAGAGTAAGAGAGTGGGAAATTCAGAGATAAGAAAACCCGTGGATAAGAGTTTCTCAAATTTGGCAGCTTTAAGGTAGGTGGGCTTCACCTATAGAATTCCCTAGAATCACAAGATAGAATTCCCTGGCCAGGACTCCAGTCCTACTGATAGTGAACTTTGGAGGACGGGAGGAGGAGTACCCATGATCTGAACAAGTACTTGAGATCAGTTTGAAGGATGGCTTGTCTTCTACGACATTCTGATCACATAATAAGTAATGATATATAAATGTGTACCTATTTGTCTAAGTTGACATATAAACACATTCATCCTAAACTTTCTGCAGTATCGTATGGTACTTTGGGTGGACCAGTGATGTCTTAAATCTTTTAAACGTCTAGAAACCACTTTGACTTACCAGAGCTACGAGTGCAGATAAAAAGTTGCAAGTAAACCACCCAGAGTGGCTTATGATAGGCAGCCATATAAATCATATAAATAAATAGACAGGATTATTCCATCTCTCTTTTCTGGATAAAGTCACACAAGAAGACTTTTATGCAGCCAATAAATTATATTGGAAAAATGGCTGCTTACGAAAAATACGCCGCCTCTTCATGATTTGTCTCATCAGACATATCACATCCATTCATGGATTCTTTTCAAATGAAAAAGAAATTAAAGGAGATTCATAACATGCATTGATTTTAGATTAACCTCTTTTGGCCTTGGGATGATGACAAAAAGGTCTTAATATATATATACACACACACAATAAACCTCTTCTTTGAAGGCCATCATTGATTTGCTAATAATAGTCATTCCCCGCCCCTCCCCCCTTCCAATATAAAAATGCACAAGACAAATGCTATTCTATATACTGTGGTAGCTATTCCAATTTAGTATAAGAAAAGCACTCAGCTAAGAATTTATCATGAATATTGAAATTAATTACCTTTCAAGAAAAGATGATTGTACAAACTGCATGACTCCGAGGCAAATGTAGTAATAAAGGGCTTTATAAAAAAGCGAACCCAAATTTAGATACCAACCTTAATTGGTGTGATCGGAGTAATTTACCATGTTCAGATGCTTGCACATGAAATAGCCCCCCTCTGGGGTTATTTACTTGTTTTGTCATTTTTCATGCCTTATTCAGGTTTATATTTGCCTAAATCACAACCAACTGTAAGCAATGTTTATTTCATATCTGTAAGGAGGATTAAAACTATCCAGAGGAACACTACCCAAACCATGATTCCTATGGCACTGAGTAAAATATTATTATTTTATTAGTAACTAGAAGCCAGAAATCAATGAACTCTGAGGAAAAATATATATATATATATTTTAAAAAGTTCTTTACCTAACTTGAATTTAGCTTTGTTATGACTTCATTCTCTTTGGGCTATGAATTTTTCACTGTGATGATGACAATGAAGAGAAAGACTAGGAGTGACATGATCACAGTCTTCTAATATTTGAGGGGATGTCAACCTAGAGAAGAGGGTGTTGTAAAGCACCTGAGGGCAGGGCAAAAAGTAACAGATGGAAGTTTATCATGGTGGTGCAGTGGTTAGAATGCAGTACCTGCAGGCTACTTTTGCTGACTATTGACTGTCAGCAGTTCGGCAGTTCGATCCTCACTGGCTCGAGATTGACTCAGCCTTCCATCCTTTCAGTAAAATGAGGAACCAGATTGTTGGGGCAATATGGTGACTCTGCAAACTGCTTAGAGAGGGCTGGAAAGCAGCACTGGAAAGCGGTATATAAGTCTAAGTACTATTGCAATTATCAAAGAGAGATCCAAGTTAGAACTAAGGAGAATTTTTTGACAGTGAGAATAATTAATCGGTGGAACAGCCTGCTTTCAGAAGTTGCGGGTGGTCCATCACTATGGGTTTTCAAGAGACTGGACAGTTATTTGTCCAGAATGGTATAGGATCTCCTGCTTGAGCAGAGAATTAGGTTAGAAGACCTCCAAGGTTACTTCCAACTCTGTTATTCTATGTTCTACAGTATGTTCTATGAAATTGTTTGCTTCACCAGTGTATGATCAGCATCTGAGGTAGGACATTTTGTTGTATTTCAGGAATCATGGTGCCCAAGAATGCCATGTGATCTCCTGGGAGTTTGGTCATTTTAATATTTTAAAACTATAGATATATGAATGCTTGTGGCATTGCAGTTCAAAACATGTGGCCTGCAAAGCTTGGTGATTTTCCAGGCAACCTTTTTAAGGAGGGTGATATGATACATCTCATCTTAGAAAATAAGAGATATACAAGGAGAATACATGGGACCTCTGATTTATTCTTCCAATGGACACTTTCTTCCCAGAAGAAGGAATCCAACACCAAAAATCTATTTAGGATCTCACCCAGTGTTGAAGTGTAATCCTTTTGGACATCAAACTTTCCCAAGCTTCTGAGACATGCAATGCTTCCAAGACAGGTCAAAATTGGTCTCATTCATTGGTAATGATTATAACCACAGCAGCTTTTCACCCATCCTAAGGTATTTTTATGTCTTGATGCTCCATTTTTTTTTTAAATGAGGCAATTTGTGCCCAATAAATAGGCAATTATGATGCTACTGCATAAATGAGCCCACTGAACTGGACTTATATCCAGCAGAATTTCTGCATTGTATACCTTTGTTTCTATACCCTATGCATGACATTTCTGTTCTAGAAAAAAATAATAATGCTGAATCTTGATAGAACCCATTGCAAACCTTGCAAAGAGATTCCAGTATCCCTGGCCCATTGTGAGACCTACTTGACTAGCTCCTTGACTAGTAGCCTATCAGGTCTAATTCCGTATTGCCTCATATAATGGTGGTGCAGTGGTTAGAATGCAGTACTGCAGGCTTACCCACTACTCACTCCAGGGGTTCGATTCTGAACGGCTGATTCTCAAGGTTGATTCAGCCTTCCATTCTTCTAAGGTCGGTAAAATCAGGACCCAAATTGTTGGGGGCAATATGTTGACTTTGTAAACCACTTAGAAAGGGCTGTAAAGCACTGTGAAGTGGTATATAAGTCCAAGTGCTATTGCTATTAAAAATAATATCGTGAATAGAAGACAGATGAGTGGCTTCAAAGTACCAACATAACAACTAGTGATTTCTTTAAGCAGTCTTATTTTCCTTTTCCATCTGCAGCCCTCTCACTTTTTATGCTGTGTCTTTTTAGATGATAAATCTGTGTGTACAAAGTTGTTCTCCCTCTTTTGATTGGTAAGCCACCCCCTCATTTAAGGTAGGTATTCTATACCTACCTTAAATGAGTAGGTATAGAATCAGGGGAGGGTTCTGAATTTTTTTACTACTGGTTCTGTGGCCGTGGCTTATTTTGTGGGCATGGCTTGGTGGGGGGGGGTAATGTGACTGGGTGGACGTGGCCAACTTTTTAAAAAAAAACTTTTAAAAGCATTTTTTCTACAACCTTAAGAGGTTGCAGAAAACAGTGTTTTGAAAAGCCTCTGCTGATCAGGCAACTCAGCTGAGATCGTCAGAGGCTTTTCAAAGCATTTTTTTAACCACCTTTTTTTTTTACTTTTAAAGGCATTTTTTCAGCCGAAGAGATTGTAGAAAAAATGCTTTTAAAAGTTTTTTTTTAAAAAAAGCCTCTGATGAGGTGGGCAGGGTAAGCGAGCGGCGACCGGGCCAGGGACCAGTTCGGGGGCCTGGCCAGCCAATGTTATTACCGGTTCTCGGAACTATTAGAAATTTTTACTACCGGTTCTTGCGAACCAGTGCGAACCGGGAGCAACCCACCACTGTATAGAATATATACCTACTCATTTAATGATTAAGGTATATATTATAATAAACCGTCTTAATTTTTTTTAATGATGGCTGGGAATTTGATTCAGCAGATGGGAAAGATTTTATTTTCCATAAGTGACAAGCAGTAAAGGAAAAATACCAAAAACAGTAAAATATTTTCTACTTGGATGAACATCATCCTTTCTACTTTTTGCAAGTTATTAAACAAATGAATGGGATTTTTTTTTTCATTTCCATCTGTGCTATCATTTATGTGATTTACTATGCAGCTAATCAGTTACATAATTAATCAGCATCTCCGTAGATATTTTTCCTGGCTTCTGTTTCTGTAGGAACTTTTGTTGGTCCAGCGAATAGCTACGCTAAGAGTCTGACTACTCTCCCTCATAAATATCTTGATATATGTAACCCAGAGAGAGAGGTGAATGGCCACGAGTAGTGAGAACTGTAAAGGCTCTGCTATCAGATATTACTTTCATTAGGATTAGTTGCATTAGGAAGTGCTGAAGCCCTCATGTTTGCTTGATTTGCAAATGGACAATGCATGCAGAAAGAAGAAAGCTCCTCATTTACTGTCCTAAAAAACAGTTCTTATTGGCATCTTTGGGCCGCCATCCACCAAGCTATGGTCCTCTCTGCATTTATCTCATTCTTTCAAAACAACACACTTTTTTTTAACAAACATGTATTCTTTTTTTTTGGCTTCTGCTGAGATCCCAGTTGCTTACTAACCACTAGCTCGGTGCTTCCCAACCTTAGCAATTTTAAGAAAGGTGGACATCAACTCCCAGAATCCCCCAGCCAGCATGGCTGCCTGAGGAATTCTGGGAGTTGATGTCCACCTTTCTTAAAGTTGCCAAGGTTGGGAAACTCTGCTAGCTTCTATTAGTGCTTGAATGTAACTCTTAAAGTAGCAATCCATCTATCAAATTGATGGTTAGAAGCCTGCTAGTATTTTATATAATTTTCTCCCTTGAGGTACATAAAAATGTGGAGGCCTAAACCCAATAGAGATAAAAACATGTTAAGGAGGACATGGGTCTAATCTAGCCTTTTCAAATGATGTGCTAGTTTTCTATGTACAGACAACTGTGCAGCACAGAAGATAATTTTCTTCTACATAGGACCACAAGATCGGAATTGTAACAATTCAGAAAACCACTAGATGGCAGCATAGTAACATACAAATGCCCTTGGCTGATATCTAGTGGCCCTCTGGATTTTTGCAGTTCTGTTTTAATACAGTAGCTCACAAGTATTGGAAGAATAGCTTTATTGCCTAGCTTTTAAGGGATTAGCCTCTCTTTGAAGATGTGCTTGTTTTGAACCGTTCTCCAGTCCAAGTGTAGTTGACAGAAAACAAACCCTAAGAAGGGAAAGTAGTAAAGGTCCTCAGGGTGGTGGAGGATCTCCTAATATTGACTTAAAGAAAGTGCTTTTAGTATAATTAAAGATTACACAGCTCCCTCCCTCCTTGTCACAGGTAGGATGATCTTGGTTCCCATGAGATAGTAAGTTGTTGATGTCTGGTCTGATATTCCAAAGCTCCCCTCACAAAGTATATCAAGCTGAGAAATGGAGAAAATGGCTGCGACAGGCCCAATCCGTTTCAAATTTGACACAAAGCACCTGATTACCATCTTCCACTGTGGACATTACTTTCTGAATTGCAACAATTATTTTTGATTGTTTGTAAATATTCATTTATGCATAAAATGCCATCTTATGCAAATGTTATATAAACTGCCCTCTTCTGATGCTGCATTTTGTCTTTTGGGAAGGGTGATGCCTTCTGGGGAGGCGGTTGAAAAAAATGTCAAGAGGGCAGCTCTGACAGCAGTCATACATACACACATACAAAAAAGTCTTCATGCACACATACACTTGTGTTGGCATAAGACCTGGGATTTATACGGGAACCTGATCTATATAGCCCTTATAAATAGCCCAGGAACAATGGCTTCTCTACATGTACATTATATTGATCAAGGACTGCCAGATTCAAATATCTGTACCTTGTGGAGCAGGGTTTTCCTACTTTAAGCCATTTTAAGATGGGTGGACTTCAATTCCCAGAATTCCTTAACCAATTGAAGTCCAAACAGTTTAAGTTGGCCAAGACTGAGAATCCCTGCTATAGAGCAATATTGGACAGATAAACTTTGTTAGTTTGACATCCCTATTCCACCTATCATTCTGTATTTCCAAAGCCATCCTGCCAGACTAAATAAAAGGAAAACAAATTCAGGCCATTCGATGGGTCCAGAAGGGGCCATTACAAATACACATACGATCAACCAAGACTCACCAAACGTATGAAATTCAATTTAACATCTCCCAGGAGGTTTAACTGATTTGCCAGGCCAATTGCTGCTGCATTTAGAAAGATGCATGTTTAATTTATAAATTAGTACACTACAATCTGGTGCATTAGCACCATATTAAATGAAAAATTAATGTAATACAAGACAAATGACATACGATAAACCATGTGAGCGTATATACAAATTTGACTTAATATGTTGGCTTCTTTTGCCCTCTGTCAGCATGACTGCCTTTCTCCATAATCCATGTTTCTAATTATCTCTTGCACTCCTTGCATACAAATAGCTAATTACATAGTGTCCCTGTCAACCATGAGGTATGTAAAATCTTAAAACATATCCCTTTGGAAATGTAATTTAAGATAACTCAATGTTATCCCAAATGTGTATTTTGATGGTGACCAGCTATAGAATCTGCTGCTTTTTTTGATTATTTCACTCTCAAAAAAAAAAAAAAATGTACTCATTTGGACTGAAAGAAAACAGCTTGGAGCTACCTTCTGTTTCAAACGATGTTCCTTCTGGTGCAGTGTACTGTTTCTGAACATTATTGAAATTTCTTGATTTTTTCCAAAAATTCTCACCTGATTTGAGGAGGTCAAGAAAGTCCTTTATATTCAGTCAGTGACTACAGTCACTGGGGTTGTTACACTGATATGTTTTGTAATGGTGTCAGAACTTCTCCTGAATGAATTGTTCCTACACATCTATGCCAGCGGTAGAATTTAATTTTTTTTACTACTGGTTCTGTGGGCGTGGTGTGGCTTGGTGGGTGTGGCTTGGTGGGCGTGGCAGGGGAAGGGGAAGGATGTTGCAAAATCTCCATTCCCTCCCCACTCCTGGGGGAAGGATATTGCAAAATCTCCATTCTCACCCCACTCTGGGGCCAGCCAGAGGTGGTATTTGCTGGTTCTCTGAACTACTCAAAATTTCCACTACTAGTTCTCCAGAACCTGTCAGAACCTGCTGAATAGCATCCCTGATCTATGCCTGTATATGTTGAGAAAGTTGACCTATGCACTCACAACTATTCCCCAATTCTGCTGCCAATATTACTGCTTCTGATACTCTTTGCGTGACCTTCTCAATCATGTCTGAAGCTTAATGTTGAATATACATACCTGGATCACCTTTTTAAAAGGAGGAACACAGCTGTTGTTTTGGGATTGAAGCAGTGTGAAGGTTGTCCCTTGTTCTATCACACAAGCTAAGTGTGGGATGGCTTGGCTAAGATTCATCTTAGATTAAGCTTTTTGTTAATCTTTTTTTTTTTAGATTGGCCTAAATTTTCTAATGATGTTTTGATTAACAGCACATATTAATTTCACTCCGGACTAACCCATGGCATTTTAATCTTCAGATGCAGAAAATCTTATCCATCATGCAGAAAATCTTATCCATCATAACCTGACAATATAATCATTTGCGTTCTGAATGTTTTCTTGTGGCAGTAATCTCTCTGCATGGTTGGGTTAAGATGATTTCATGCTTTAGGTAGACTAAGAATATGCCAGGGCTGTATGCTAGATAGAATAACAGACTAACCAGGAAAGGGACCTTGGAGGTCTTCTAGCAGGAGATCCTATATACCATTCCAGACAAGTGGCTGTCCAGTCTCTTAAAAAAACTCCAGTGATGGAGCACCCAAAACTTCTGAAGGCAAGCCGTTCCACTGATTAATTGTTCTAACTGTCAGGAAACTTCTCCTCATTTCTAGGTTGGTTCTCTCCTTGATTATTTTCCATTCATTGCTTCTTGTTCTGCCTTCAGGTAGACAGACAGAAAATCAGTCAGTCCATGGCTAATCATATCTTGTACTGTTGCTAAGAAAATTACACGGATGGTCTGCAGAGATACAAAGAGTCAAGCTCTTCTAGAGGATGTATTTTACCTTTTTATAAACTCTATAGAAGAGTTTATAAAATATAACATTCCTATAGAACGTTCATTTACAGTTCTTGATGAGTTTTGTTTTTTTTTGTTCTCATCAGAAAGGAGACAGATACATAAGCATGGCAGTGTAGTTAATATGAATAACAATCACATGCCAGTCACTCCCAAGGCTGAAGTATTGTAGTTTCTCCCTCTGTATGAATCCATGGACTTGCAAATGACCCATTAAGCATTCCTCTTTCTTCCAGACTGGGTCCTTAGAAATTCAGACTATCCAAATCCAAATATGGAATTGCCTATGGAATCCTATATTGTATGTATCAAGAGCATCTTAAACAAAATGTATATTTTCCTGTGATCCTTTTGAAAAACGAATGATGCAGCTTTAAGGAATTGCTGATAAGTATGATGTGCTTGTCCCCATGGTTTCTAAAGTACCCTTTCTCTTTCACATGGATTATTTATTTATTTGTTTGTTCAACTTGTATGCCACCTTTCTCTGAAGACTCAAGGCGGCTTACAATGCATTTAAAAACCATATATAAAAACATTAAACATTAAAACATTAAAAACAATTAAAACCCATTTGCCAGATCGCAACAGCGAGATCAACGGCCCCAGGCCTGCCAGAAAAGCCAGGTCTTCACCGCTTTTCGGAAGGCCAATAGGGTGGGGATGGTCCGGATCTCAGGAGGTAACTGGTTCCAGAGAGCTGGGGAAGCCACAGAGAAGGCCCTCCCCCGTGGGCCCACCAGCTGGCATTGTTTAGCTGACAGGACCTGGAGGAGACCAATTCTGTGGGATCTTACCGGTTGCTGGGAGCTATGCGGTAGAAGGCGGTCTCGGAGATAATCTGGCCCTGAGCCATGTAGGGCTTTAAAGGTAATAACCAACACCTTGAATTGTGATCGGAGTCCAATAGGGAGCCAGTGCAGCTCACGGAGAATTGGTGTAGTGTGGGTGTACCTAAGTGCACCCACGACAGCTTGCGCGGCTGTGTTCTGGACCAACTGTAGTCTCCGAACACAGCCTGTATTAGAAACCACATGGCAAGTAGAATCCTGCATTGTTAACTGAAGACATAACTAAGGCATCTGTCAAGTGGGTCATGATGTTAAGCCTATGTAATTCTAACTGGATGTCTGAAATGAACAGGGACCCCAGGAGAATCCCTTTGCGAGATGCCACCAGAACTAGGGGCTAGGGTAGACCTATTTAAATATACCTGTCAGATATCAAACATTGTGACATATTGAGTATCAAAGGACCGTTAAATATTAAATGACTTGTCTGTCTGTTAACTGCAAAATGTTGTCAGATGTCAAATAGGGGATGTCAAGGATCAAATCCCATTGGAAGACAAATATTGTTATTGCATGTCATATGGATGATAGATACCTGACCTTAGAATTTGCATCGGAATGTCAGGGAAGAAGCTGAGGAGCAAATTAATTCCCATTCATCTCTACTTCAAATCTCATTCTATCTCAGTGTCCTATCTATATTCATGCATTCCTTGCTCCTAGGAACTCTACTTACATGATATTAATAATTCTTTCAACATTTACGTCTAGGTCAATACAGCAGCTCTCTTCTATCTCTCCTATCCAAATGCAAGAGAGAATCTGAAAGAGAATGGTGAGTTAAAGAGCACCCAATCAGTTTAGAGATGAGATAAGAAAGGAATTAGCTTATCCTTTTGAGATCACAATAGCATTAATCTTTGTCACAGGATTATGAGAGAGCATCCTCAAAATTATTTTTCATGGCATTTAGTTCCTATCAGGAAGGGATTTTACAAAGGATGGGATATAGTTTTTATTCTACCAGGGAATAGTTCCTTTCAGTGGAATGAGTGAAAACACAGTGATTTTCTCTTCCACCCTCAACTTTTCGTTATCCAGAAGACACCACAATCCTCTGGAAATTTGGGAGGGGGGCAAAAAGTGGTCTGCTCAGTTGGATCTCTTCCATATTTATATATGAACAAATGGTTCATCAACTTGATCATTTGTGACTCAAGGAAGAACTCTGAATGATTTAACCAGAGTTCTTCTTTGAGTCACAAATGATCAGGTTCAAATTATCATACTTTGGACACATTATGTAAAGACCTAGCTCTCTGGAAAGGACTCTAATCCTGGGGAATGTGGAAGGAAAGAGGAGAAGAGGATACCAGGAACAAGGTGAGTGGCGATGAGTGCATCATTGGAAGATCTGAAGGAACCCATTAGGGACCATGTTCCTGGAGAAAATCTCTCAATATGTTGATAAAGAGTCAATGTTGACTTGATAGCACATAATCAATCATACACACACGTATTATACACACAAACACACACACTTAGAACCTCACTATGACAAAGGTGAGAAACCTTGCTTTATCATTAAGCTCTGCATAATATTCCTCTCTTGTGGCAGAAATAGTCTTTATGATTATTCCACTCCACTCCATTCCACTCTTCTTAATCAATTTCATGGTTACCTATGTAGCAGTTGCGTGCTATAAAAGAACACTGGTTGAATTTAGGGGAGTGGTGGAGCCAACATAGGCAGCACTTATCAAGTCCTAGAAGTCTACTTGATTGTCTGAGTTACAGACCATGGTTAAGTTTCTTATCCATGATTCAGAGTTAATATTTGGTATGAAAATAATAGATCTGCATACGAGCCACAAAAGTAAACAAAACCCAGTGTCTTCATCAGCTGATAGGCGGAAACATTAGTTCTGCCTTTTGATCCTGTCATCCTGCTCTCCCACCAGGTGCACCTTTCTTATAAAACAAGTAGGTGAACTTCCTGCCCTTGACTGAATTTGGTGGCCTTTCAAAGGATTATCATGAGGATTAGCTTGCTTCAAAATCAGAGGGTTGACTATATGATGGTCTCTCTCCCAGATGCAATTACCTCCCAATAGAGAAATGTGATGCATCTTCCCTGTGAAATGTGTCAATCTATTTGAAATACTGTCCCTTCCTATCCAATTCAGTTAACCAGGACCTTTCTCAACATTTGCCTGACATTCCATTTAGACAAAATTAGATTTTAACTTTGCTAGAAATTTCAAATGAAATTAGGTTTTCACTCCACTTGCCAGGTAACGGCTCATTGCCGTCATATCTGTTTCTCTTGAGTAATGTGTATCTCTCCTTGCCGACATGTCCTTGCTTATTATTCATCAAAAAGCAGCATGAATGTGAAAATGACAAAGCCTAAATATGATTTTGCATTACACTGGTAAGGTACCCATGTACTTGTCAGAGGAAAGTTGAGCTGGAGGTCAGAGAGGCAATAAGAGCAGAATAAGACCTTAACCCAATTCTCTCTTGCTAACTATCGTTGTAACTGACTGGACCACTTTTCTCAAGAAGGAGTTGTTGGTATTAATAATAACGCATCCCACTGGTATTAGTTTGATTCTTTTCTTTTCTTTTTTTAAACTGTGGAGTTGTGTTAATAGGCAAAACGAACAGGAACACAAACTCTTTTATGGAACCCCAAGGGGAATATTTCTCTATTCAATTCTCCTACCCATTTGTCTCTTATCAAAAGTCTATCAATGCTGTGATGAAGCCAACGTAATGGAGATAAATCTTCTCCAACAATTTTCCTGTTGTGCATTCTATTTTTACTGAGTGCTCCTGAACGATGGTTTTAATAGGCAACAGACAAATACAATGGAAAACAGAGTCAGCATTGTGTCATATATTGCTCTTGGCGTGGGTAAGAATGGAAGGGGTACGCCTGGAAATGATCTGAAGGCACTGTAGCTTAGCCTTCTGCAAAAGGTTGTCAAAAGAATTACTTAAGAATCACTGATCATTTTTTTTTATGTGTGGCAGTAAACACCCTGTAGGCTGGAAGGTGAAGAATTGGCCACCGGAGACAGTATCTTTGTCTTTGGCTCAGAAAATGTATGCAAGTTTCTGCCTGACCTTTATCAGAAAGATACATATTTGCTCTGCCTGCCTGCTTGTCCATCATCACCTATCATCTACCTATCTATTAACTCTCTCTCTCTCTCTCTCTCTCTCTCTCTCTCTCCTCCCTCCCTCCCTCCCTCCTCCCTCCCTCCCTCCCAACTATTACTTACTGGTGGGTTTCAAGTTTTTTTTACTGTGGGTTGGTGTGGCATGGCATGGCATGGCTTGGTGGGTGCGGCTTGGTGGGCATGACAGGGGAAGGATACTATAAAATCTCCATCCCACCCCACTCCAGGGAAGGTTACTACAAAATTTTCTCCAGTCATCTGGAACTCAGGAGGCAGAGAATAGATGAGGGTGGGGCCAGTCAGAGGTGGTATTTACCGGTTCTCCGAACTACTCAAAATTTCCACTAACAGTTCTCCAGAACTGGTCAGAACCTGCTGAATACCACCTCTGCTGCCTACCTACATATCTTATTTGTACCCTATGACTATAATTAAATTTGTACCCTATGATTCTTGACGAATGTATCTTGTCCGTGTATGGAGCATATGCACCAAAGACAAATTCCTTGTATGTCCAACCACTCTTGACCAATAAAGAATTCTATTATTCTATTCTATTCTATTTATGTTCTATTCTGTTCTGTTCTATTCTATTCTATTCTATTCTATTCTATTCTATCTATATTCATCTCCCTTTCTATCATCTCTATCTCTCCCTCTCCATTATTTGTCTGTGTCTGTCTGTCTGTCCTGCCTGCCTCTATCTATCATCTATCATCTCTCTCTCTCTATCATCTACCTACCTATCTACCTATCTTATCCATCCATCCATCCATCCATCCATCTAACTCTATATCTCTATCTCTCTATCTATCTCCATCTATCTATCTATCTATATCTATCTATCTATCTATCTATTCTATCTATCTATCTATTACTTCTATCTATCTATCTCTATTCATTTATCTATCCTCTGTCTAGCCACCCACAAATAAGTGACTCTGGGCAATGTAAAAAAAAAAAAGATACAAACTGCAATTAATTGTTTTATTATTCAGAGTACAAGGAGTTTGCATCATTTCCACCAGTGTGACAACTTTGTGCTACCTATATTTTATTTTCATGCATTTCTCCCAAAGAGGTTTCCTTAAAGTACAATTGAAATAGGAAATAGAAGAACATTAATCCAACCCTGGTAATAGGACTACTGAATTAGCGTGTGGTTTCAGTTGTACTCCTGGAGACACACAACACAAGAGTTGGTGCTTACTTTGGAACAATTCTAGTTCTACCATATATGCTCTGAACACAGAACATTGGCTTTGTTCCCACACTGTGCTAAGCCAAGATATGGGCGGTTTCATTTTGGCTTACAATGATGTACAAACCTAATCAGTGTAGTTTGCAAACCATGATTTCTTTTATTTAATGTTGGGGATTAATCCAACTATTGCAATTTATAAGACATGAGTCTGAGGTTAGTGCTATGTGTATTTAATAGGGAGAGGTGGTGGCTCAAATCTTTTATTCATACAGATTTCTAAAATTCATAGCTCGTTTAGGAAGTTTAGGTTAGAAGAGAAGGAATTAAAAAAACTAGTTCCTCTGGTGGACAATTGCCTATTGTGACAATTGCCACTTGTAAAGTGACGACAATTAACCAGTGGAACAGTTGCCAGGCTCAAGGTTGACTCAGCCTTCCATCCTTTCTAAGGTAGGTAAAATGAGGACCCAATTGTGGGGGCAATAAGCTGACTTTGTATAAAATATACAAAAGTATGAAGGCTATTGCTTAACGCATTGTAAGCTGCCCTGAGTCTCTGGAGAAGGGCGACATATAAATCAAAAAAACAAAGCAAAAACAAAAAAACAAAAACAGCTGGCCTTCAGAAATCATGGGTGCTCCATAACTGGAGGTTTTTAAGAAAAGACTAGACAGTCACTTGTCTGAAATGGTAGAGGTTCTCTTGCTTGAGTAGGGGGGTGGACTAGAAGACCACCAAGGTCCCATTTATTTATTCTATTCTATTCTATTCTATTCTATTCTATTCTATTCTATTCTATTCTATTCTATTCTATTCTATTCTATTCTAGCTAGCCTAGCCTAGCCCAGCCCAGCCCAGCCCAGCCCAGCCCAGCCCAATTGCTATTTATAGTGGTTTTCATAACACTTTCTGGAACATCATCCATTCCTATCAATGCACTTTGTATTTGATAACTTGCACAAAAACTATAGAATCTGCTGCAAATGCAGGATTGGCCGACAGCATACTATTCTTGCAGCCAAAAAAGGCAGAATCTTGCACTTAAATAAAAAGGTCTAAGGCAGTTGGTGTCCTCTCTTGCGGCATGTTAGTTGCTGTACCTTCCCAAATGTATCACAACCTTGAATCCTTGATGGCAAGGATGGGATTCAGCCGGTTCAGACCAGTTCGAGCAAACCGGTAGTTATGGCCAGTGGCTGGGCCCAGCCACCCGCCCCAGCGCTATCCCGTTTTATACTATCGTTGTGTTTTTGACACAGCATGCATGTGTGTAAGGTGCACATGCTCACATATTCGATTCTGGGCGAACCGGTTGTTAAATTATGTGAAGCCCACCTCTGCTTGATGGGCAGAAAAACCTCGAAGACTCCCGCAGGCAGCTACCCATAACTCAGAGGTG